GTGTGGACGAGCGTTGTCATGTTGCAAGATTATTGGCGCCAGGCTGCCTCTAACACGACAAACTCGACGCCGGAGGTATTTTAGAGTCTGTATGTACTGAGAAGAATTTACCGTTGCCCCTCGTTCCAGAAATTCGGTCACATAAACTCGGTGAGCATCCCAAAACACAGTCAAAAGAAGATTTTTGGCGGATGGTTGTTTTTTGAACTTTTTCGCCTGAGGAGAAGACGGATGTCGATATTCAGCGCTCTCTCTTTTCTCTTCCGGTCCGTAACGATGGACCCATGACTCGTCCCCCGTCACAATATTCAAAAGAAAGTCGTCTCCTTCGTCACGGTAGCGCTGCAAAAGTTGCTCGCAGCATTCCAATCGACGCTGTTTGTTCTCGTCTGTGAGACGGCGTGGTACCCATCGTGCACAGATTTTACGGTATCCCAATTGTTCAATAATGAAGCCGATACGTTCGTTGGATATTCCAATATGGTTTGCGATACGCTTTTGAGTGATTCGCCGGTCATTTTGAATCAAATCGTCGACGAGTTTGCGATGATTACCGTCTGTGGCAGTGATCGGACGTCCGCTGCGTGTTTAATCAACAATTATGGCTTTTCCAGGCTCGCAACCATGAAATTTTATTACCCATCGATTTACAGTAGACCTATCAACAGCATCGTCACCATAAACAGCCTTTAAACGACGATGAATCTCAGTATGAGTCACTTTTTATGCAGTTAAAAATTCGATAACAGCACGCTGTTTAACTCGCGTTGACATAGCACCAGAACACGTCTCCATACTTCCGCTTCTCGAAATACACTGGATGAACGCAACTACCTCAAACCTGCTCATGCGTATTGAGGGGGAATATTACTTCCACATGCCACCTGGCGCGCTGAAGGTCATTTCGTTCGCGCTATACAAGCATGTGTGCATTACTGTTCAACCTACATACGTATATATATATATATATTCATCTTCTTCATTCGTGCTACATGCCCTGCCCATCTCATCCTCTTTCACTTGATCATTGGCGAAGAGTACAAGTTATGAAGCTTGTATCTTCTTACCAAGCTGAATATACATAACTTAACAGTCTCTTATCAAGAGATAAATTATTTATGTCCATGATGTTTCACAAATTGGGGGGGAGGGCATATTTGCTAAAGTCCTTTGGAACACAAAATCTCAGGGCATTACATTAATTGGGTCAGTCATCGAAACAGTTCTCGCGGTTACTCTGTTCGGAAATTCAAAAACAAGGCTGTGTGATATTCTGCCATCACGTGATGTTCGTGCTCGAGAAGTTATTAAGGGAGTGGGAAACGCGAACATGATTACACAATAAAGAAATTAAATTATAAACTGAAATGTTAAGAGAGAAATGCGCTAAAGTTAAGATGATGATGTTGGGGTAATTTAGAACGCGTAATGAAGGGTTGCCAGGCGCCAAGCTTTTATTCATCAAAAATAATTTGTAGACCTCATAATTTTGCCCTTGCTTTCCGATAGTCGTTCTAACACCGAAAACAGTGTCTTACAGAAAGAAACTCTCCGTCACGACGTTACATTTCTGTTTCTGAAAGAATAATGCAGTGATTAGTAACCTGCAAACTGCGGCCCGCTGAAATTCCCTGTATGACCGGAGGGCCACAGACGAGAGACGAGACGGACGAGAGACTAAAAATATTACGTAATATAGTCACAAATTTATATGGGATTTCTGTGTCGCCATCGCACTGTCGCGACTTCGTACCCCAGCTGGAGGATTAAAAGCAAATACTTCAGCTAACGTCCATTGTCCAGGTTCGATTCCCAACAAGAGGAGCGATTTCTCTCTTAGACACAAGAAGAAAATGTAGTTTGGAGCTCATAAATTTCCGCACTCAGTGGGTAGCGGGTGAAAACCGACGGAGGTTGAAAGTAACTAACTGTTCATCTCAATTTAATGCCACATACAGGGCTGTTTGATATCTACCCAAACTCCATATTTAACGATGCTTTCTCGCAACGTTGTTTTACAGTTTTTTAAAAAATGGATTACAAGCTTTAAGGTGGTACACAAATAAACTCCGTGGTTTTAGTCCGCAAGCGAACTATACCGACAGAGCGACCGCCGCATGCCGGCGAAGTTAGTCACAACATTAGTGGATAGAGGGTGTCGCGTGGTCAGGGCAACGAATTCCCACGGCCGTTAATTCCGGTTTTCTAGACCGGAGCCGCTATTTCCTTGAAGTAGCTCCTCAGTTATCTTCACGAGTCTGAGTGAACCCCGTTCCAGAACCACCACTACTCAGAAAATTTGGTAGCGCCGGGAAACGAACCCGGACCTCTGGATTTGTAGCCAGGAACTCTGACCACTAGATCACAGAGACGGTGTTTAAGATGGTACACTGTTCACTTAAATGAACAAAGAATTCCCAGAAAACATATGTCCAGAAACCGATGCCTGCTGAGGTATGGGCGATGTTCATGTGTTCTCTACAGCAGATGCTCTATGCGGTTTCCATGCATTTCAACACAACTTTCACCTCTTCGTCACTCAGAGCTGCGAACCATGTCGAAAGTTCCTGGTTTCACTTGAATTTCTTGAAAGGCATTGTCTACTCGTTTCTATAATACCTATATATCACTGATCGGCGCTGAATACACCAAAGTCATTAGGAATAAGGTCAGGAAGTCGTGCAGGTCAGTTGATAGGCCCTCGGTGTCCTACCCACCATTCACCAAAGTCTAGTTCGGGTACTGTCTGACAACGAGGAGAAAACAAGATGGTGTCCCAATTATGCACCAACCACATGTGTTGTTGCTGATGAGGTGGCATGTGTTCCAAGAGCACTGGTAAGTCGTTCACCAAAACGATGGCAGAATGTACCTTTTAGTCTGTTAGGTGAGACAACTGCTCCTAGGAGCTGATCACCTAAGATGCCCACCGAAACACTGACTCGTCTACATCTCCGCAGGCACTGATTGTGCACACAGTTGATTGGGACCTATGTTGGTCATTTAAGTGAGTACTATACAACCTTAAAGTCTTTTACCATTTTGAACATACTGTACGTGTATACAGCCTTCTTTTTCGATTTATAAGGCAGTATTCAACTGTTATGAGTTTCCAAAAATAATTTTAACTCAGACATTAAACACTGAGCAGGCATTGCAAAAAAGTAAAGATGTACGTCACAGCCACAGCTACCTTCTGCAATTATTTCTCCGGAAATTAGATACGACGCTTCATCTAGGAAGAAGGCAATGACGTCACAGACATCTGAAAATTGTAATTTCCGACAGATATATTGGGGTGGGTGTAGATGGCACCAAATCTCTTTTCCAGTAGATTCATCCCAGTCCCTCGGATATGTGACTTCTGCGAAGACAGATTCTTACGAACTTCATAAAACTTATCAGGGAAAGAAATATAGCTCAACTCTTCAGCAACGCGCAGCCCACAAAGTTTTTTTTTATTATTATTTATGATACAATTGGTGTACAGT